AGTAGCAGCAGTAGTAGCAGTTGTTGTAGTAATAGTCGTAGTAGTAACAGTAGTAGCAGTAGTTGCAGTAGCACTAACAGCAGTAGTCCTAGTAGTAGTAGTAGTAGTAGTAGTAGTAGTAGTAGCAGCAGCAGCAGCAGCAATAGCAGGAGCAGCAGCAGCAGTAGTAGTAGTAATTAGCAGGAGTAGGAGCAGGAGCAATATCATCACACTCGCTGCGATCGGTGCGTCTCGCAATGCGGCATCAAGCAGTGATGCACCGGCGCACTGTGGCGCTCTACCGCTGTGGGTAGACTGTAAACTACCACTACTAAGGCACTCCTCAGTTTGTACAGGAGGATGTAACTGGTGGTCTCAAGGGCACTGAGATGGATCTGCTGGGCCACCTGATTATCATCGGTGTGGAGCCAGAGCTCATCTGAGGAGTGAGATGTCGTGACCGGCTGCAGGGCAGCTCGGTAGTGACCAGTGGTAGCCGAATCCCCTATATGCTGGATCATAAGTTCTCCAAAGGATTCCAGTCGGGGTCCATTGAGGAAGGAGGAGGTCAAGGTCTGCATTTATGCGATGATGTAGCTTCGCAGCAATGCCCCGTGCATTGCGAAACCGATTCAGTTGAAGAGCCACAACATCGGTTCCTGCGATCAGGGCATGCTTGTGAAGTTGGTTGTGCCAACGCTGAACATGCGACTGCACTGTGGTAAGCGGTTGGAGCGAGGTCTCGGCAGTGTCATGTCTGCCTGACAGGATAAGTGGGCAGATGCCGCCTTCATCTTTGCCACAGGCCTTGAAAGCAAGATGCATTTAGGACCTGGTGGAGATGCAGGAGGAAGTCCGCTGCGTCCTGCTGACGAGCTGGCTGTCTCCATGTGCGCATGGCCTGTCGCCAAGGCAGCAGTGACCAGAGGTTGAGCTGAGGCGAGCGACGGGCCTGCCTGAGGAAGCTTCTTATCGGCTGTACCTGTGATGCCATCGGTGACTGGGCGACAAGCCACAGGTAAGTGAGCAGGCAGGCATGGGAGTAGCAGTAGTTGGAAGGATTGCTCAGCTGCAACTTCGGTATGAGTGCTAAGGCCCCGGCTGCTGCCTCGGTAGCGGAATGTTCAGAGAGTTGAGGAGGGACTGCAACTGCTGGGCTAGGGCTGATCTCTGAAGTCGGTCCGGTCGAAGTGTGCAACCAATCATCTGCAGCGCCGAGTTGTGCGAGAGAAGCTGCAGGAGTTCCCAGAACCGTGCCGTGGCTTCGCCTCTCCACCCCACTTCCAACAGCCATGTCACTGTGGTGCCCTCCATCTGCTCCTGAAGCTGCCAGGTGGCATGGAAGCGGTTGAGGAGCTGAGGCCGGACGCTCAACGTTGAGAGCTCTTGGGCCACTTCCACGATCTGCTTCGCCGGGAGTGGGTCCCGCTGGGTCTTCATGGCCCTTCTTTGTTGTCCCATTTCTGGTACTTGAAACCCTGGTTGGGATCGTAGAGATCCAGTTCCTCCGCCTGATCTCTCGTGTCCTGGTCGTCCAATACCTTCTGAGCCCGTTGAGCCAGCTCCGCCATTAGCTTCTGCCAAAGGATGGTGCGCATGGGCAGAGTGATAGCCTCCGCATTGTTCTGCTTGAGGTCGTAGCATGCCTGGGCCGTGTTGACGAGCCTGGGGAGAACCGTTCATGGCTGCTGCGTGGTCAGAAAAAGGACCCACGAGGTGGACTGCTGGAGGACTGACAGGGCATCCTCGTGCCTCACGAGGACTGGCGTCTTTAGGACTGTGGTGGCTAGCGGCGCATGGGGGCGGGAGCCCGAGCGTTCTGAGTCTGGTGCTGTGTCGGCTGAGAACCGCGTTGTGGGTGGCCCTTGCCCTTGCCCTGGTTGGAGCCGCCTTTGTAGTTCTCCCTCTGCCACTTCGCTGGCCTTTCCTCTCGGCTGTTACGGAGTCGACTCCCTCCATGGGTGCAGGTCCCTGCCCCGCTTACAGCCATTGCCCTCTGCTCCACGATCTTCATCTGGGCATTAATGGCGTCCAGCTCCTTTGTGGCCTCGAGGAGATCGTCCTGGTTGATTGGCTCCGGCTGGAAGGTGGCCATCATCTCCGTCGGCAGCATAGACTGCTTTGAGGAGATGGACAAGGAACAGCACACTACACTCTGTGGCATGCTTAATCGGGGCACCACTGAGTGGGAGCAGGCAGTAGCGGCACGTCTTGCCTAAGGCCAAAAGTCTGCGGTGCTCCTGCATGCATTGAACCGCTTCAGCACATCGGACATGGAGGGGGGAGTGCTTGGCCTTAATGTGCGCACGAAGCCCCCGCGGTTGCAACAGCCACTGACGGCAGAACGGGCAATGATGTTGAGCCTGCGGACGGTTGTTTTTGACCCATGAGGCAAGGCTCTCCCAGTCACCAGCAAGAATGGATTGCACCTCAGTTTGGTGGTACAACGTGTCGGGTTCAGGTTGAGCTTGGCTGGGACAGTGCACCCATCTGGCACTAGGACACTGCACGCCTTCGTAGAGATATGCACCCTGAGGTCGTGCCAGGTGTTGCATTTGCGAAGACAGCCTGCATTGGCTGAGACCCTCTCTGCCGTGAAGCCAGACGAAGTGCCCACGCTCATCGGCCGGGAACGGGACGTGTTGCTCCGGAGTGGGAGTCGATGGGAGAAGCTTCTTGGTCCCTGACTCCAGACTGGATGCGGCAAACGGTCCTGTTTGCCTCACATGCATCTGGTGGGATTTGGAGATGTGCAATCTGACCGCCTGTAGTGTGGGAAAAGATACCCCACAGACAGGGCAGTTCAGCGGTCTATAGCTCGAGGCACTGCTGACAGGAACAAGATGCGCACGGGTCAGGGATGAGCTCAGCTGAGGATATAGCTGCGGGTCTAGGCCATCCGCTTCCTGGTGATGCAGAGGGGAGGGCGTAGCCCAATACTCGATGAGCTGATCATGCCAAGCCTCCAGTGTAGCAGTTGGGAAGCATGGCTGCTTCTGAAGGTGGCGCTGGGTCAGATTCTCCAGAGTTTGCAGCAGATCCTGCAGCTTGCTTCGCTGGCACAGCTCTGCTGAAGTGATGTTAGTTATGTGGGCAGGGAGTTTGGACAAACTGCGCAATGAGCGGTCGAGCCTGTACCGGCACATCGGTGTCTGCGTGGGAGTATGTCATGACAGGCAGGACACAGGTGCGCCATACCTTGAGTTTGCTGGCAAGAGTCAGAGCTCGGTTGCGTAGGACTTTGCTGAGTCGCCAGTATGTCTGCCAGCCTAGATTTCTTCTAGCATTTGAGAGGACAACAGCCACAGTACTGTGGAGCTGCTCTGCAAGGCAAGAGGGTGAACATTCAAGACATGGACAGTCAGACTCAGGCTATCTTCATAGGCCGGAGCCCGCCACAGGAGTGCCGGGCCAGGCCTGTTCTCGGTGACCGAGCTGTCGAGTGACCGCTGGCCTTAGCAGGTAGGGTCTGCCAGGTGGAGCAGAGGCCATGTGCCTGTAACAGCTGCATATTGAGTGCCCAGCTGCAGCAGGCGAGGACTCCTCAGGCCTGTGCAGGGGTAGCACGAGGAGGACCGTGGAACAGTCTCGGGCTGAGTGTGATCTCCAGGAGCGAGGCTGCCGGCGGTCGTCGGCAGGACGTCCCTGCATGCTGGACCTGAGACTTGAAGCTCCACAGGCATAGCAGGCTTCAGAGGATGCAGGCTAGGAGGCAACACGTATTGTTGCTGGAGTGCAAAATGTGGGGCCATGCTTTTTCTACACTCATCCTGAGCACTTCGTCTCATAATCAACTCTATAACTGGATATCGGCCGTAGAGGGGGCTGCAAGACAGCACTGACAAGCTGACCTCGAGCACCAAATTATCAGGCAGGCTTGTTCTCGAGAGCCAGTGCAATCTCAAGCAACAGCAGAAGCTCAAAAGTGAATGCGAAAACGCTTGACAAATACCTTTGGAAATGAACACTGCAAATCCATGTGCGAGCCATACACTTGGGGCCACCACTGCATCTCCGTCCGACTTCTTTCGGGATGGCGCAGTCGGATCCATCATTTGCTGGTGCCGCTGGGCGCCAGTAACTCTCTACGAGGGGATAGTACAGTAGCACGTGTTTGTGTTGATTCCGTGCAATAAGCTACAGTCTCCATGATGAGCCCCATCTACTTTCCCTACTTCACTTTCCTACACACAGCGCATCTTAGAGACAAAAGCCTGCAGCACGGTCGCCTCGCGAAACAACTCGATTTACTTACACCATCGCGGGGCCGAAACAACTCGATTTACTTACGCCCTCGCGGGGCCGAAACAACTCGATTGACTTACACCCTTGCGGGGCCGCAACAACTCGATTTACTTACACCCTCGCGGGGCCGAAACAACTCGATTGACTTACACCCTCGCGGGGCCGCAACAACTCGATTTACTTACACCCTCGCGGGGCCGAAACAGCTCGATTTACTTACACCCTCGCGGGGCCGAAACAGCTCGATTTACTTACAGCACCAAGAGGCCAACCAAAACTGGCTGGAGCTGAGTATTAACGACAAACATGTTTTGCAGATTATACTGGTCATCCTGAAATGGCCCAATGTGCACCACACCCCGTTACCGACCTGGATCCACACCACCTGACTCCACGGCCTGGACTCCCTGAACGATGTGAGCCAAGCTGCCACATCTGAAGGTAATGGCACCTGCATGCGACGCGAGCTCATATTGCTGCACGGGGCCGTGATCCAGCGCAGCAGCTCTCGCGCCCACAGTAAACGTTGCAAAACATTCGGGAGTCTAAACTCTAAGCGCACTGATGGAAAATGAAGGAAACAGCCGCAGCACGGTCCTGCGTGTAGAGGGGGCTGCAAGACAGCGCTGACAAGCTGACCTCGAGCACCAAA